AGAGAGAGAGAGAGAGAGAGAGAGAGAGAGAGAGAGAGAGAGAGAGAGAGAGAGAGGAACCAAATTAACAGAATCAGAAATGAAACGGGAGATAAACAACGGACACTGGGGAAATTCGAAGAATCATTAAGTCTTACTTAAAAGCCTTCCTCTACACAATTAGAACTTCTAAGTGAAATGGATGATTTTCTAGACAGATACCAATTCAAACCTAAATCACGAACAGGTAAACCATCTGAATAGTTCCATAACCACTAAGGAAATAGAAGCAATTATTTAAAATCTCCCAATCAAAAAAGAGCCCAGAGCCAGATGGTTTTAGTGCAGAGTTCTACCAGAGTCTCAAAAAAGAGTTAATACCAATACTCTTCAAACTATTCCACAAAATAAAAACAGAAGGAACACTGTCAAATTCATTCTATGAGGCCGCAGTCACCCTGATACCTAAACTACACAAAGACTCAACAAAGAAAGAGAATTTCAGACAAATTTCCCTTATGAATACTGTTGTAAAAAAAAAACTCATTAAATACTCGCAAAATAAATCCAAGAATACATCAAAGACATCATCTACCATGATCAAGTAGGCTTCATTCCAGGGATGCAGGGGTGGTTCAATGTATGAAATTCCATTAGCATAATCTACCATATAAATAAACTGAAAGAAAATAACCACATGATCACTTCACTAGATGCTGAAAAAGCATTTGACAGAATGGCAGCCAACAGATTGGGAAAAGATCTTCACTAACCCTTCATCTACAAAGGCCTAATATCCAAAATATTTAAAGAACTCAAGAAGTTAGACTGCAAAGTATCAAATAACCCAATCAAAAAATGGAGTACAGAACTAAACAGAGAATTCTCAGCAGAGGAATCTTAGGCTGAGAAACACTTAAAGAAATGTTCAAAATCCTTAGTCATCACAGAGATGCAAACCAAAATGACCCTGAGATTCCACCTTATACCCATCAGAACAGCTAAGATCAAAAACTCAAGTGACAGCACATGCTGGTGACAAGGGAGTGCTCCTTCATTGCTAGTGGGATTGCAAACTTATAAAGCTTCTCTGGAAATTAATCTGGCAGTTTCTCAGAAAACTGAAAATTGTTCTACCTGAAGACCCAGTTATACTTCTCCTGGGCATATATCCAAAAGATGCTCTACCATACCCCAAGGACACATGCTTTACTATGTTAATAGCAACCTTATTCATAATAGCCAGAAACTGGAAGCAACTCAGATGTCCCTCAACCGAAGAATGGATACAGAAAATGTGGTACATCTACACAACAGTTACTTTTCAGGTATTAAAAACAAGGACATCATGAATTTTGCAGGGAAATGGATGGAACTTGAGAATATCATCCTGAGTGAGGTAACCCAGTCCCAAAGGGACATGAATGGTATGTACTCACTGGTAAGTGGATATTAGTCTAAAAGGTCGGAATACCTATAATACACACTATAGACCTGGGATGAGGAAGGCTCCCAGGAGTCAATGCAGATGACCTTCAGAGAAATGCCCAACAGTTGGGATATGGAACCTGCAGAGACCACCTCTAGTAGCCAGAGAGGATCCAGTGGAGGATTGGGGACATCAACTCACTTACAAAACTTTTGACATAAAATTGGTCCTGTCTAAAAAAAATTCAGGGACAAAGAGAACAGAGATGGAAAAAATGGCAGAACAGTGACTGGCTTATTTTGAGACCTATCACTTGGGCAAGCGTCAATCCCTTATAGTATTAAGGATGCTATGCTATGCTTGCAGACAGGAGTCTAGCATAGCAGCTCTATCCAGGAGCTGACTCAGACAGATATAGATACCCACAGACAAACATTGGATGGAGGTCAAGGACCCCTGTGATAAAGTTAGAAAAAGCACTGAAGGAACTGAAGGGGATGGCAAATTATAGGAAGATCAATAGTGTCAACTAGCCTGTACCCCTGGGAACTTCCAGAGACTGAGCCCCTAACCAAAGAGCATACACAGACTAGTCCGAGGCCTCTGGCACATATGTAGCAGAGGGCTGCTTTGTTTGGCCTCAGTGGGAGAGGATGACCCTAATCCTGCAGAGACTTGATACACCAGGGTAGGATGATACAGGGTAGAGGGCAGCCTCTCCGATTCAGAGGGGAAGGGAGATGGATTGAGGAACTCTGCAAGGGTGGACCTGGAGTGGGGGTTACAACTGGGATGTAAATACATACATACATACACATACATACATACATACATACACACACACATACATACATACACACACACACATACATAGATACATACATACACACACATACATACATACATACACACATGCATACATACATACATACATACATACATACATACATACATACATACATCTTTGGAGCCTGGGGAATTCTATTGAAAAGGGGAAGGAAGGATTGAAGAAATCAGAGAGAGAGGTCAAAGATGCTACAAGAAAACATACAGAAACAGCTAATCTGGTCCAATATCGGCACACAGAAACAGAATCACCAAACAGAGAGCATCCATGGGACTGACAGGCTCTTGGCACATACCTAACAGTTGTGCAGTTTGGTCTTCATGTGAGACTCATAATAGCAGGAGTAGGGGCTTTATCTGACTTTGTTGTCATAACTGGCTTGCCTTGCCTAGCCACAATAAGAAAGATACACCTAGCTCTACTGTAACTTGATATGTCAAGGCTGGTTGACATCCGTGAAAGTGAAGAGCTTCTCTTTTCTGAGGAGAAACGGAGGTCAGAAGGATGCTAAGGAGGGGAAATGAGAGAAGAGGGAAGGGAAGATGCAATTGGGATGTAAAGGAAAAATAAAACAAAGCAAAACAAAAAGGCCTTCAAGACTGTGGTTAGGGTTTGTGTGTTTACAATAACCAATTACCAATTCAAGCTGACCCTGAAAGAGTCTAATGTCCTTGGATTATACAGCTTTAGGGAGCCATGGTCATTTTCAAACAGGAAGTCGAGTAAGAGCCACTAACCTCCAAAACACCAGAATTCCCAGCACTAGGGCATCGAATCCTGAGAGTTTATTCTATTGTCGGTGAATCTGAATGCAAATCTCCTTTCTATAACCTATTACCCTGATTAGCTACCTGTGACTATTTCTGTATCCTTAAATCTGCCTCTTTAGCTAGACATCTATCTATCCATCTATCCATTGTTCATAAAATATCACCCAGATGAAAGGTAAGCTTCATTGGTACTGTTGCCACGGTGATAATGGCTGTGCCGTGTTATTGTTGATCCACCAACAGTCAGAGAAGCTTTGCAGTCAAGATATTGCTTAGCAGATGGAACGGTTTCTGTTGGACACTAAGTACTGCTACAAAACCTCAAGTTACTAACTGCATTGTTGGAGGTGACCTGTTTCCACCCAGGGAGTGAATATAAAATCAGAGTTTACACAAGTGAGCAGTAGAGTCTGCTAAGTCATGGCTCTGTGGGAAACCCGAGCCACTCAAACTGAAGACAGATGGGAACTGCCTAGCGGATTCCTTGTTATTTGTGTTGATTCTTGTTCTTTTTCTAATGGCAAGCCCCAAATAAAAATCTTGTTATTTCGAGAAATAAAGAAAAAATTAAAAAGGGTAAGCTCCAAAAGTAATTAAATATTTTTTGGGTCAGCATATCTTAATTGCTACCACATTGGCCTGGGGAAAATACACATTTATAAATCACTATAAACCTGTAACAATCTTGAGTCTTACAGGTGTGTTCCCATTTAATTCTCAAAATAACTGTGAGAGATAAGTGTAGCTGTTTCTGCCATGATGTACTAGTGGAGCTAGAGTCTACAAACACTATACAATAGAGCTTTTTAAACTATGGGTTGTAGCTCAGCATGGAATCATGTGATTGGGTGTGGGGGTCAGGAATACTTGATAATAGTAGAACATTTAAGGATATGCAAAGCTAAAAAATTAATTAAAAACAGTTGTGAGACAAATCCAGGTGTTTTCAGCTACATTTGCTCATGTTGCATTGTTGGGATGTTGCTTCAGCACTGGCTCTGAACATACATGTGCACTTTGCAGTGTGCATGCTATGATGCCATGGAGTGCCAGGGGATCACATCAGCTTGAAATACATCAGCTCCGATCTAAGACTTACATGCCATAAACTGCAGGGTTTATGCTGAACATGTGAGATTTTCTGCTGTTATGAAAACATAACGCTTTAATTAAGAAAAACAAAGACAGCATTTTCTTGCATTATTCTTCAGTCCCTAAGTATCAAATTAGTATTGTTATAGATTGCATTATATTAGAACCATTGAGTTTGCTAATTGACGATCAGAGGTGAGATTCATAAAGAAAATCATTTGATGAATATTAGTTTGGAATTAGAACAGAAGTTTTAATAGTAATTGAAATGGTGCTGAATGTACTGCCATTTTATATTACATATTTATACAAAGTAGCCCCCTCAGTATTGATAATTCTGAATCAAAATATTGATGAATTCTTGAAATCATTAAAGATGCTTTGTGTTCTATATTTTCAAGTATTCAGTAAAGATTCAATTATTTTAAAATGTTTTCAGCTAATAAAATTATTTAAAAAAATTTGTATGTATTATGTGTATGTATATACGTGCCTTCACATGATGCCATGCTATACTTGTGGATGTCAGAAGACAATTCAAGTGTTTGTCTTTCTCGTCTACCTTATTGGAGACAGGATATCTTGTTCACTTAAGTAATCAGCAGGGTGTCTATCCTGTGAGCATCTGAAGATGCTCATGTCCCTGCCTCCCATTTTGTCAGAGAAGTCCTGTGATTACAAGCAAATGCTAGCACATCTGAGTTTGTGAGGGTTCTGGGGACCCAAACACATTGCATTATACTTGCACAGCAAGAGCTATATACCCTCTGGAGCAGTCCCCCTAGCACCAACATTTAATTCCTTCTTTAAAAATTGATTTATTTATTTTATGTGTATAAGTGCTTTACCTGTATGTATTTGTGTGCACCATGTTCATGCCTAGTGCCTGTAGAGGCCAGAAGATACCACTAGAACTGGAGTTAGTAGTGGTTGAGTTACCATGTGGGTACTTGGAACTGAGCCCAGATCCTCTGAGAGAGCAAGTGCTGTAAACCATGGGGACATTGCTTCAGACCCCAAGTTCTAATTCATTATCTGTACATAAATGATCATATGAAAAGTTCTGTTTGTCTTTGAGACTAATGAAGTCACGCATGGAAAAGGAATTAATTTAAACCAACCAATTCTTCATGATTCATTATTAGCAAATGGTTGAATGGTTGGTTTCTATACCTATTTTTATATACATATGTACCTAAAGTTATATAAAAGTTTCTGGGGTGAGAGGAATCGTAAGTAGAAATGTTAAGAAGCCCTGACTAGATAAGCATGCATTTTGATGTATTAGAATTGTCAGAAAGAGAGCTAGCCTTGTCTTCACCTAGCCTAGGATGGTTTGGACAGCACTATTTGGAATAATAAAGAATGCCATAAAAAGATCTCTGAGAGTATTAAACTAAAACCAAGAAAACAAGAACATTACAGGAAAATCAACAGAGGTTATTCTATTCATCTATGTCTGGCTAAGAGGAATAGCCTCATTTATTCACACATGAGGCACTACACAACATTTTTCACTAGAAATAATGTAACTGTTCTCCTAACAAAATCTGCTTCCTTTTTTTCCTATTCATTGACAACATCACTTTTACAAATTCATTTCAGGACTTGTCTTTCTTGAATATAGTGTGTAGTTAATAAACAGCGTACAGTTAAACAAACTTTTTAAGTATCTTGTGGAGTACTGATTGCTACTACTGTGATATTCCCATTGTTTTATATAAAACAGATTGTTTTCTTAAGGCTGGGCATGAGTCTTGTCCCTTTTAGGTATCACTTGTATGACAGCATCCACTACACTGCTATCCATAGTGTAGTGCTTGATAAATATTAATTCAAACTCAATTGAATTGTTTACGAGGGGTGGAGAGAAGTCTGAGAACACTGAAGTTTAATATCTTTGGGCTTCCTACTGGCGATTAATCACAAGGAAACTGTGATTTTTTTTTTATATGACATATGGTTTCTTTCCCAAAACGGAGATCCAAATGAAAGCAAGTGAAGGTGGCATATTTATACAATGTATTTGGAATTTAGTGACTAGAATTCTGTTTGTTTTTTACCTTGCTCTCTCTTTGCTTTCTCAACCTGACTGCTGAGAAACAGGGAGTTTACCCTCTAACTGACAGGAAGGGTGAGCCCAATTGGAAGGGTTTTCTGAAAGCTATACATAATAATGACTGCTATTCTGAAAGCTGCAGAGAGCTCCATCAAGCCTTCCCTCAGACCCTGGGGCACAGCATCCTCTAGATCTAAGCTGTCACTGGCATGTCACATCATCTCTGCAGCAACTCCAGCTATTTTGATGGTTCTCAAGGCCGCCCTCAGTGAGGTGCACCCATAGATATGTTAGTCTTTTCAGTGCTCATTCTTCTTAGACAGAGTTCAGGTATCTGGTCTGAGTTTGGAACAAATATTGGATTAGAGTGTCATGCTATAGGAAGCTACCATATAATTATGTGCTGAGTTTCGCTTTTTGGTAAATATATGGAGGTCCTAATAACACCGAAGTCTTATACTGTCATTGTCTAACAGTCTTCAGAGATAGAACAGGGTGCAATGTTTCCATCATGAATATGAAATTGTGACTTCCCTTTAGATCATTAGTCCCCCCACCTTATTTTGATTGATCTTTTTGTATTCACCCGCAAAACTGGTACCAGCTAACATGCTGAACTTACACAGTTACTCCGTTAAGGGATATTGACCTTTTTTTTTTTTTTTGTTCCCCTGAGCTTTTCATGAAAAATTTAATCTTCCAGGTGGCCTTTTGCACAAATCCATGCCCTGAGACAATACATTTCAAGTGTCTACTGTGGGGCAATGGTTACTTTGGTTGACAGAGGTCGACATGAAAGCACAAATCAAGAGCAGTTCTTGTACTAGTTGTTTCTATATTTATGGGAGGCAGAAGACTGGAAAAGAAATAGTAAAAAAAAAAAGTGAGGTAATTTTAAAAAAAATTACGGTAAAACAAATATTACAGAATGATTCAGAAAAGAATGGTGTAATGGAGCCTGTGAATAATTCTCAGCACACATCAATGTCTTAGATACAGAATGGATTAGTTTGGCAAAATAAGGGAAAGCCATTCAGAGAGCATGGGAGGTACTCAAAAGGTTGATAAGGAAAATCAGGGAGATCCATGAAAGTCAGCTAGGCAAAAGTCTATTCAAAACATAAAAAGTTGGAGAATAGTAAGTGAAAATGCTACATGTGGGGGTGAGTGGACTGTGCCACCACACAGAAGACCTAGTAAGGTTGAAAGAGGTTCAAATCCCCAGGAATTCTCATATTTGAGATCAGTAGGAATTAGAACCAGCTCTCGGCCAGGATCTACCTGTCCTAGAACACATAACCAAAACACTCCATTGAGAGGGTCATGACAATCAGTCACATAGCATAAAAACCTAATGAGGTATCTAGGTAGTCCCCAAGTCTTTAACCAATGAGCTTCCTTTTCTGGGCATCCCTTCCTATAAAAGGTATTTAATCCCTAGTTTACCCTAAGTAAGATGTATACATTCACCTCCACCATGAATAAAACAGTTTGGACAAGCAAGGACTGTCTCCTTCATCATGGATCACTGCAGGGGGTTGGGGGGCTGGCCTTCCTCAGAAAGAGCCTCTCCTAAGGCTCCCTGAGAAGGCCTCTTTTCCAGTCCCTTCATACTTTTGGAACTCACTGGGAATCAAACCAGGTTCTCTGTCCCAGGCTCAGCCATCCTCTTCCTGCCTGTTGTGTCAGGGGAAGCTTGGGCATTTGGACCTCCATTCCCAACTCCTTGAGGTCCCCAGTGGCATCTGGGTATGCAGGAGACTGAGAACCACAGAATCCATCTCAGATCCCACTGTTTTTCACTCGGAAGAACATGCGCTGAGACACTATTCCAGATTACATTCTGCCTGTGCTCTGACGCCCCAGAGGCAAAGGAGGAACACAGACTGCCACTTCTTCTTCTTCTTTTTTTTATTACTATTATTATTTTCATGTGGATAGTGAAAGCAGAGATAAGTTGAGAAGTTATTAAGATAATTCAAGAGAAAGACCTTGGCTTGAAGGAAGTTCCAAATTTATTTTAGAAGCTGGCCAACAAAGCCAGCTGATAAATTGAACAGAAGAGAACACTGGTTCTACTATGGGATAGACTTACCTTGTCATGTTTACATGAGTGTTTATCCTAAGTGTGTATCTAAGGCTTCAGCACCAAGACTGGAAAACAATAA